ATTAAGCAGATCGGGGATGGCGGGGGTTTAGGGATAGGGATTGGGTTTAGGGATACGGATGGAGGGGGTTTAGGTAAGTATGTTTTAGTAGGTTGTACCTAAAGCAATAGAGGTTGTTTTTAAGAGTTTAAGAGTTTAAGAGTTTAAGAGTTTTAGCCAAATGCATTATAAGATAGTATAGATTATTAATGCAAACTCTTAAAATTCAGTCGGAATTTTTTTAATCAACCTGGATATCCAATCTGCTATGTGAGCTTACTAATCTCAAAACGACCACTTGTTTGCGTATAACCCATAGTCACCACATTTGAACCTCTATAACCACAATTTTTTTTATTCCTCCTTGGATATTAATCTAAGACCTCCTTATACTTTTAACCTTTGGAGTTACACTCAACCGGTTCGTTTCTTTCTTTATGAATTAGATAAACACTCAACAAACTTTCATCGCTATGTTGATATAAAAGAACACCACCATATCCCAAAATTCAGCCGGAAAAGTAGGTGTTGCTACGGAAAATATGGCGGATGAAGTGAAGTTGTATGGTTATGCAGAAGGTTCATACGTTTGCAGAGTCAAAATTGCTTTGAATCTCAAGGGAATCAAGTACGATAACTTRGAAGAAGATCTGAGCAACAAGAGTGCCGACCTTCTCAAGTACAATCCTGTTCATAAGAAGGTACCGGTGCTGCTGCACAACGGAAAGCCGATCTCGGAATCTCTTGTGATCATTGAGTACATCGATGATGTCTGGAAAGGAATTCCGATTTTGCCACAGGATCCTTATGAGAAGGCTGTTGCTCGATTTTGGGCGAAATTCATTGATGATAAGGTAATGATTTCGTTTTCTCTCTTAATTCCTTGTTAACGTTGCTGGTTTTTATGGTTATGCAAACGCATATACGAGTGAGAACTCATAAAATTATRATAATYTTGAGAACAAGTGCATCATGTGATATTTCACATGACTATTTTTCATCTATGGCTTAATCGGCTTGGATTTAATGTATTGATTAGCATATATTTGKTTCACAATGTGAASATTTGTGAAACAAAAGTACAACTAAAAGTCTCACATTGAAAATCAAACACATTGTGAAACAATTCCTTACGATAATAGTTTTCACAATAGAGTTGAGTTCCGATGARAAACATAAGAAGAWATCTCCATCWTTGGATACACATTAGGATGAGATACACTGAGATGYACTATGTATCAAACGTRATTCATGGGTGGATTTGAAATTAAAGYTGATCAAGGATCTAGATCCCTTGTTACRTTTCTCACRTTAAMTCYCATTCTAACAATATCATTTAAGTCTTAGGAATTAAAAGGTGCATATAACCATATATTATAAACATACATTTAGTTTGGCAGAATTGATTTTCCTTTATGAGCTAATTAATTTAGCAATATATGACAACATGCTGGCTAAGAGTTCGGTTACCCAATTGCTTATTCAGTAAGCGCTTACCGATTGGAGTCAACACTATGATTTATTTTGATGAGTAAGATTTTAGTATATTAAAACATATCGAATGCAACAATTTAGTGGGTAGGCGTTTACTTGGGTAAGAGTCGTCATCCTCACTTACAGGGTAAGACTCTCCATCATTCTCATCGCTCTTACCCGGTAAGATTCTTGACCCTTCTCATGTTCATCCGATGAGGAAATTTATACTTACCAAGCAAGTGTTTAGTGAACGGCCCCTAACTCATCTCTGGGCTGGAAATAATTTATTTGACATAGAACCAGAATTGATTTTCATCATATGTTATGTTCAGTGTATGCCTGCACTATTCAAGGTTTATAGCAGCAATGAAGGTGAGCAAGCCATGGCAGAAGCTTGTGAGCAACTTCAGATACTAGAAAATGAACTTTCTGTCAAAGGTAACAAGTTCTTCGGAGGTGACAACATTAACCTCGTTGATATCACCGCTGATTTCATAGCGTATTGGCTTGGAGTAATCGAAGAAGTAACTGAAATCAAATTGGTCACGAAAGATAAGTTTCCAAARTTAACCGAATGGGCTGATAACTTCGTAAACTGCCAAGTCRTTAAGGAAATATTACCTCCAAGGCAAAACCTTCTTGCGTCTTTTAGGAAAAGGTTTGGTAAGGCGTAACGGTTTCTTGTCGTGTTATTAGCCGTCTTTTGTGCTTATCGAAGTTCAAACCTTCGTGTCGTTCGTTTATCGATGTTGTAACGAGCAGCCGCTTGTGCTTGTTGTAGTAAGTAGTAACGTTGTTTGCAAAAAGCAACTTGTCTTTGTATGCTGATGTTGTTTTGTAATGTGTAGTAGTTTTTTTTTGTTGAGAATTTGGTGTGTTAATTTTGTGGTATGGAAGGATTCTCTTTGTTATTTTGTTTGGGTAAACGTGGGTTTTCTAGTCAGCTTACGTGCATTAACTAATTCCCGAGCGACTATAAATGGTCTGGAGTCATCACATCTGAACCTCCACGGAAAAAATAAGATTTCCAATACATCATCTGATTGATAGTCTTTTTTGTATGTTATCATTTTGATTTTCCTTCATTTAAACATACACTTTGCAAGATTGTAAGATGATCTACCAAAGTTTCAACCCGATCAACCCAACCAAACCACACGATGGGCATTTAGCAAAATAAGGGGCCGTTTACTAAATGCTTACTCGGGTAAGCGCTTACCAAGTCATATTCTTTACCGGATGAATATGGCAAGAACCAAGAATCTTACCTGGTAAGAGCAAAGGCAAGGACCGAGAGTCTTACCCGGTAAGTGATGGCGACGATTATTACCACGGTTAGTGCTTACCAGGTAAGTTGTTATATACAATGTCGTTTTGGTAGACTAAAATCTTACCCAGTATGTAAAGATAAAGTTGAATTTTATTGTCACAAATAGGGATGCAATCGAGTCAAGTCGGATAGTAAGTTATTCGAGCTCGGCTTCAAAAAGTAGTATCAGGCTCGAGCTTGAATATTTTTTCACTGTTTGAGCTTGAACTCGATGCTTGTTTTTGAGCTCGAATTCGAGATCAATTAACTCGTTTATTTACTCAAGCTCGATAATTTTTATACTCGGATTATATAATTTGTAAACATATAAAAATGTTATGGCTCAAAAAAATGTATGTTCGAATGGTCTGGCTTGACTAAACTCGTAAAGCTTAATCGAGTTTTCGAACGAATTAAGTCGAACATTATTGTTATGGAACTTGACTGTTAAGTTAAGCGAGCTTTATTTTGTGTTCGAGCTCGATAATTATTAAGCTTGAGCTCAAGCTTGAATAGCTCGTTAAAAGCTCGACTCGTTTACACCCTTACCCGCAAATCCATATAAAGTTTCTATTAAACCAGAGATGGGTAGGCAAGGTTTACCATAAAAATGGGACTCCCAGATTCATATAACTCATAAACCCTGTGGAAATTTGTCATCAAGCCAACATTAAAAGCTGAATTGAACACTGATGATTTCCATGACTATTGGTTTTCATCCATTAAATTTGACAATAAATTCAATCGATTTCGAAAATTGATAAATCGATAGTATGTTTAGAAATTAGAAAAAAACACGACCGGCTAAGATTTTTAGAATTTTCAAAAGATAATTAGATAAATAAGTATATTTATATAATTTTTGGATTTTCGAATTTCGAGATATTCTTTTTACATAAATACCTTATTCTCGGTTCAGGTTTGGATTCGAATTTCAGATAATTCGGGTTCTGCACATCCTTAATCAATCACTATTATAAGTGGTGGGGGTTGTTTTACCAACTTATACCTTAAAAAAAAACTAGCCTTAAGTACAAAAATGCCCCTCGCATGTTTTACCAACTTATACCTTCAAAAAAAAAACTAGCTTAAAGTACAAAAATGCCCCTCGCATGAGGGGCATGTTCAAGCTTTAATAGACATACATCTAACGGCGTTAGAGGCAGCTATATATTACTTAAAAAACAGAAACCATAGTAACTAAGTGACTGTTCGGTAATGGCTTAATGAGTTGTTAAGTATGTATGGTTTATTCGGTCAGCCATATATTGTTGTTCGCTTCTGGCTTATTCGGTCAGCCAAAAAAATGGAGTCCTATGGACTCAACCACTTATTCAACTATTTATTCCAAATCTACCCTTTCCCTATTTCCCCCCCAAAATTGCACCCTTCATCGTCAACTTCGCCTTATTCAACGATCCATTTCCTGTAACAAGTCCCAAATCCCTCCACCTCCGACCACCCCTCGTACATTTTCAAATCTGATTTAAAGATCATTTGCTTGCAATTCCATTTACTATATTGCAAATCTACTACTACAAATCCATGTGCTATATTGGAAATTGACTTATGAAAACAGACAAAAAGTTGACTTGAGTTTTTATTATAAGGACTTATTAATGTTGTTTTGATTATAACATTTAATCATAATTATGTTAATCAAGTTGTTTTTATTTAAAAAACTTTTAAATTGATATTTTTTTTTACTATAAGTCATTTGTTCAACATTTTCATCAAACTGTCGTTTTATTCAGACAAAAATAAAGACTGGGGGTAAAATTAGAGGTGAGCATAGGCGGGTACCCACTTTATTTGTAGGTTCTAAAACTGGAACCGGTGGTTTTTGAGATATTGGAACTGGAACCGGAACCGGTTAGAGCGGTTCTTGAATTTTTGGAACCGAAACCGTCGGGAACTGGTTCCGGTTCCGGGTACCCGCTTCCTAAAATATTAAAATTTTGTTATTTAGAAATAAAAAATAAAACATTGCCAAAACAGTAAATAAATAAACAAAAATACAAATTATACGGAATAATGGTTACAAATATTGTTTAACGATAATAAATCATAATAGACTAATAAGAAATGTTGAAAGTTTAACGATTATATACTATAATTGTAAATGTTCAAAGTTTAATGATTATATACTACGTATCCAATTAAAACACAATTTGAAAAATACGAATCATTTTATCTCGTGACTGCGATGATTATGAATCTCGTTTCAAATTCTCAAGGTGAGAGGCCACAGGCCCGAGAGTATGAGGCGTAGAGGCGGGACCAAAAATCTAATCTAGAGTTCTAAGTTATTGACCTAATTTAAATTTAGTATTAAAAGGAAATTAATTATTTTTTAAGTGAAAAATACCGGGTACTCGCCAGTTCTAGGTACCCGGTCCCGGAACCGGTTCCGACGGGTAACGGTTCCGAAAAATTGAGAACCGGAACCGTTCTCAATCGGTTTCGTATTTTAGGAACCGGAACTGGAAACACTCGTATCAATTCCGGTTCCGAAACCGGCGGTTCCAAGGCAGTTCCGGTTCCGCAAGTGGATACCCGGTTCCGCTGCTCACCTCTAGGTAAAATGACTGTTTTATTCAACACAACAACCGAACAATAACTTATCTGTTAATATACAGACAACTATATCAATACAGACAATTATATCCATACAAGTTTTAACAGAAAACGAACCAAATGGCCCCTAAGTCTCAACCCATAACTATCATATAACTTCAGGGACGATTTTTGTAATTTACTTAAAAGTAAATATTATCACATCTTATAGAAGGTTGTCATAATTTTCATAAATAAAATAAAGTTTTCATAAATAAAATAAAGTTTTCAATTTTAGGACAATAAAAAAAAAGTAGGAGAACAAAGGAGAGGGTGGAAGAAGCTTCTTCACATGATGTATAGTACGCATGCACATACGTCATATTTTGTTCGTAATATATAATGCATTTGGTTGACAATATCATAAATTAATTTAAACAACATTTGATATATATATATATATATATATATATGTATGTATATATATATGTATATATATATATATATATGTATGGAAAAGGAGAACACTTTCATTTTACGAGAACGAGAAAACATTTTTTTTTACTATAAACAATCACATGTGATACTATTATTCCATCACATATGATGCACATGTGATACTAAATCAGAGACGCAGACGATTTTCGATGCGATCTTGGTTGCGGGCCAAGTCGTCCTTACACTACTAAGTACCTTCACAAGTATTATCACATGTGATAAGATTCTTGTTGATACGATACTACAATCCATCAAGACTATCACATGTGATGCTAAATCATAGACGTAGACAACCTTTGGTGTGACCTAAGTCGTAGAACACGTCGTCCGTACATCACAGAGTCTCCTCACGCGTATTATCACATGTGATAAGGAAGTACTCACGTTCTCATAAAATAAAAATGTTATTGTTTGAACCTCTACCTATATATATATATATATATATATATATATAGGGTTGGGTTCATGTGAGACCAAAGATTTTTCGTAAGATCCGTAAGACCAATTTATGTTCATTGATCAACTTTATAAGTTAATGATCTAACGGTCTAAATTGCACGGTGGCAATTTTGTGATTATTGAGAAATCTCGTGGCGTTTATGAATGTTTAGATTGTCAGATTATAGATCTAATCCAAGAGTTGATAATTGGTCTTACGGGTCTCACGAAAAA